GCAGAGACAAGACGATTGCCCTCACTGCAACCTGCAGAGGCAAGGCTACTGCTCTCACTGCAACCTGCAGAGGCAAGGCTACTGCCCTCACTGCAACCTGCAGAGGCAAATCTACTGCCCTCACTGCAACCTGCAGAGGCAAATATACTGCTCTCACTCCATCCTGCAGAGGCAAGGCTACTGCCCTCACTGCAACCTGCAGAGGCAAGGCTACTGCCCTCATTGCAACCTGCAGAGGCAAATATACTAAACACACTGTAATCTGCAGATGCAAGACTGCTACCCATGGTGCAACCTGCATGGGCAAAGCTGCTGTCCTCCTGGCAAGCTCATGAGGGCTCAGCCCTTAGAGTGTTTATACCACTATGACATGTTACAGTTCCGCACACCTAATGTTCTGGAGTTTTGGACAGATGTTCTTCACTGTTCTAGAAATGTGTCCTACAGCCCCTCAGGGAAAACGGTTTCTGTGAAGCTGTACTCAACCCCCTTTCTCTCTCATAACACGCAGAACACAAACACCCACAGCTAAAGGCAGACACATCTAGACACATGCAAACCATAAGATAAAACATCTCTTTTCTGTAAATCCTCTCCAATAAACAAATGCAGCTGCTAAACTGCATTTTTGACCTTAAGATTTGCACCTGCAATAATTTCAAGTAAGCAATAACTGAATCCCCAGACCTCAGATCTCACTTGACATTTACATGCAAGATTTCATGACCCACCATGTTGTGACTGCAACTTTATTGTATCATTTTTTTTCCTCAGAACATGGGGTAGCATTAATATAATGCAGATTCAGAGATTAAAAGGCATATAGTGAAAGTGTTTACACATGTATTCTGTTTGATGATGAAATCACTAAAGCTGGCTGTATAAACTACATCCTCTAATGATAGTGCTCTGCAGTGATTAACCACCATGTCACTTATGGTATCCATTGTAGACACTTCTTTTCCATCCTGCAAGGCCTCATCAATTATGTCACTTTACAGTAATGTTTTCCTCATTATTTACAACAATTTCTCTTTTAAAACACAGAAGGCCTTCTGATCTTTGAATGAGGGTGTAAGAATGCGAGAGTTTGGAAAATTATGAAAATGGATGGATGGGTCAGCCTGGGGTATGGTACATAGATCCGGTATCCTGTCTGGGACCAGCAACCAGGCAAGACAAGGCAATGGGCCATTATACTGTTTCTGCCTCTGGTGTTTGAATTGGGAAACATTAAAATCACTTTTTAATTTGAGATAAGGTGAGAAAACATTGAGAACAGGAATTACTGCAACCCAAAATATGGCAAGGAACCGGCCCATAGGTTAATAACAACAGACGACAAGTACTTTAATAAAAACTAAGAAAAGAAGAATCTTTCTCGATCACAGCTTGAAGATCTGAACACTTTGACTTTCGGACGTAACCATGAACAACAAGGCCGTCTGAAGCATACCAGGAGGCATACTCTGCCCTGAATCCAAAACTGAACATAAAGCGAAGAAACCGTGAAGGAAAAGACTCTTCAAACTACAGTTCCTTCTCACATGTTCTGTTTGATACGCTGTATGCCAAGCCCCTCTGTATTACTCAGAGGTAAGTCTGTCGGATATTAAACGTATGGGAGCAATTACGGATTGTGGGCCTTGTTGCTACAAAATAGGCCTTTCAGCTCCATAAAATAGACTTCTTGGCAAAGCTCTACTTTCAAGCTACATTCACTATGCCAGAGTACACGAGGAGAGGTTCTCAAAAAAAATATCTGGTTTGTGGAAACATTAAAAAGAATCTAAACAATAGTAATAATAGAGCATTTCTTAAAGGCATCATGTACTGTTAACAGTATATAGCGAATAAATAGAAACAGGTTTAGTCCTAGGTTTGTTTCAAAAGCTCTCGGTTGTCCAGCAAAGGTTCCAGCAGTTACATATCCCCCTTCCTTTTCATGAGATTAGAAAGATTTATTACACGTATGTGTCAAAGTAAAAAACAAATTTGAAAGCTGAGCCACTAGTGATTAAAATGACTTTTTCAAGCTGAGTCCTGGTATTTTTCTTCAGCAGTAAACTAACTGAAACTTGCTTCACCTCAGCTCAGTTCATTTCAAGTAGCTTTACTGCCAGATAAACACACTTTTGTGTTGCACAAGCATAAGCACAAAAACATTATGAAACTACAGCGCACAAACAACTATTTTAAAAGTCAAAAAAGACATCTAGAAACAAATTTGAAAAATTGTTAGTCACATGAGTAGGTAATGAACAATAAAACTGAAAACTGTTAATTAAGACGGATCATTTCTGCAGGTTGATTTTTCACAGACATACTGCCCAATGGAAGTCATGCTGCTCAGTCTGTACACATTGTAGGTTTTTATAGTGCGAGAAGTATCCCGACATTGTGCTAGAAGAAAGCCTCATAAACTAAATTCTTGCTTGCTACATCGTTCCCATTACTCCCTCAGAATAAAATCTCCATGGCAACGAAACACACACAGCTGCACAAGCTAAAAAAAAAAAACACTGCTGAACATCCCATCTTCTTCAGAGGGATATTAAAGTAATGAAACAAGATGACCCGTACCTTTTTTTCGTTCCTTAAAAGACACAGCCCCATGGGGCGTTTGGAAAATGGGCTGGTACAGACCGGCCTGGTTTTACTTGTTCAAAATGGAAGTGAGTGAGAGAGAAGAACACCCTGGAATGACTCACATCTAACCCAGGATCACCAGGCTCTCCATCATCTCCTTTGGGTCCAGGGGTACCCTTTGCTCCCTGCAGAAAAAATAGGGTGCAAATAAGAGGCATTTTGCTGTTTAGTCAGCTCATCACCATGCTCTTGGATAAGTTTACAATATCTGATGCCCATCGACTCATCTTTCAAGTCTAGACTTTTTTATGGCGTTGGACTGTAGGCCAGCTCAGCTGCCTCCAGCAAGCCATGGACACAGTTCCCACACAAATAAATTTTCCATGATTTAACTTATTTTTTATGGCTTCAACTGTCCAATTTCTGTGAAACTGTGACACTTTTGAATTATGGGAGGAAATACTTTCTGAGACACCTTATTTCTGGACACATGCTTGTGCGTGTTCGTAGCGGCAATCAGAAATGACCAATTTTGCTGCCAGGCTAGCCAATTTATTATTGCTAATTAAGCACATGGTCATAATATGAAGGCTTGTCAGATCGTGGTAAAGATAGATACATTTTTAGTCTGTACAATGAATTCAAATCAGATTTGGGCGATTTTCTGTGACTTTTCATAGACAGTGGGATTTCTGACCACTTTTCAAAGCTCCTTCATGACTTTCCAGGATGCAAGTATTCTCAAGGATTTTCAAGGACTGTGGGAACCCTGCCAGGAATGGCCTTCCTCTAATAACTACACTGGGAACTACATTTCAAGAATGGCACTAATGATTCATGTCTCTTGGTAGTGAATTATCTAATTCTATTGAATGCACTGCTGGAGTTGCACATGTAAATGTCAGTAACATCATCATCAATCCTGACATTAAATCCACCTTCCTCTATTATGCCACCATGAAGATACTCCATGTCTCACCATAATGTAATGCTTCATGATTAGCTGTTTCCAGACGTAACAGCTTTATCCTTTGCCTACAGTGTGTCCCCATTTTAATGCTAACGTGTATTAGTACTAATATTTAATTATAATAATGTAGCAAACTAACATACATACCGGCTCTCCTGAATCTCCTCTAGGACCTGGATAACCCTGTGACAAAAAAGAAACTCTATCAACGTCAGTGACATCATCAAAGTATTGCTTCACACCAAGTACATTTTCTTCTATACATTCGGATGCGTTCATGAAGGAATGAGGAGTACTTGGAAGCCATGACATCCTGCAGTTCCATTTCCTGGTGCTCCGTCTTCTCCCTGGGAAAATCCAGAAAATAAAATTACTACAAGACCTCCATGCACCCTGCACTCTCTGCTTATCTAGTTCAAAATGGTCAAGTTGCAGCGTTGTTTCTGAAGTCAGGATGCAGAGGGGATGTATTTTTCCTGGCCTGATACTGCATCTCCACTCAATTACATTAAGCGTTCAGGGAGGAAGAGATAGCCTAGTTCTGGCACAGGGCTCAAAATATCTTATCCAGCTCAACACGAGGTTGACACGGCTGTCTGTACAGCGTGAGAAACCACAGATGTTGTCTTGACTTGTTGAAAGCTCAGTGGACAATGAAACCATACCATTTATGTCTTGATGTTCAACCAATAAAACTGACCATTAATTTGTAACTGAGATATTGTATTACATTACAGAACAGGTTTGAAAATGGACTAGATTATGAGAGGCAGAACTTTTTGCTGTTTGATTCCCTATTATTCTAACTCTGTCCTGGTATCTTAAATGGTTCTGTCACTACTGAGCCAATGCCATGCAGGAACTGTAACTTGACTAATGCAACTGTAACTTGCCATTTCAACTAGACACCAATGTAATTTAGACCATCACTGTAATACGCAGCAGAGAAGATTTTGAGCCAGATCAAACGCAAGGTTTGACCAGGAGGTTTTCCAAAAGCAACAAACTGCGTGCTTGCAAACATTAGAGTCTTAATTTCAACTGATTCTTAACTTCCAAGATCTAAAACAGTGACTTTTCTATGTGCTAGATTAGATTTTTTTTTGTGTATGTTGATCTGATTCCAGAATTCTAAGGAAATGCAGGACCAGGAGGGGGTGAAATTCCCTGTGCTCCTCCTGTGGTTCCCCCTGATCATCTGTCTAAATATGTCTGCTGCCGAGACAGAGACCCAGCACAAAAGTGTGACTCACCCGCTCTCCCATCAGCCCTCTATCGCCTGGGGAACCTTTGATTCCCCTCGGTCCTTTTGGTCCCTGGAGAAAGAGTGAAAGATGGGACTGAGGAAGCTGAGATTTGTGAGAAAGCTGACCACACAAAAAGCATTTACAGTACGTTCAACTCAGTGACAAAATGGAGGACTAAGGCTAATAGAGGGGATGGCATTGTAGCATAGTGGGAAAGTGCAGGACTTAAAACCAAAAGGTTGTTGGTTCGATTCCCCACAGGGTCACTGCTGCTGTACCCTTGGGCAAGGTACTTAACCCAGAATTGCCTCAGTAAATATTCAGCTGTATGAATGGGTAATGTGAAAAATTGTAATTTATGTAAGTCACTTTGGATAAGATTGTCTGCTAAATGCCAATAATGTAATGTGTTGTAATGTAATATCAAGATTGCTGGGAGGATGTGAAGACCTGTGGTGGCAGGTGATGTAGCTGTAGGCAATGAAGCTGAAAAGAGTGATGTTCTGATATGCATCAGATCCCTTGGGCTTAGCCTCCATTATGCCAATTAAGAGGGTCACATGATGAAGGTGGAGACTGAGCTTCAATGACATCATAATTGACTGGAATTTCGCCCAGTGTTTTTTTTTTTTTAAATACTCTATGAAAGATATGGGAGGTCATTCCAAAATGTCATAACAAACCTCTCCTCCTGGGGGGCCCTCATCTCCCCTATATCCGGCTGCCCCAGACCGTCCTGGTTCACCCTAGAATGAGAAGAGTTCATGGGTTGGTGTAGGCTAGTATAGGTTATTTGATCAAATAAGGCCTTCTCAAGCATGTGTAGTAAGTGTGTCACAAGAGTATCATTTGATGAAATCAGAATATAAATAAACCATTAATTATGTAAAAGAAGCACTGCAAAATAAAAGATTTCAATTACAGGCAAACTAGTCACAGACCAATTTTACTTCTCAAAAATTTCACACTTGTCGAAATAATTAAAGTTCAGCTGCAGTAAAACAGTATATGAGGAATAATGTAATTCACAGGGCAATGTGAACTTGAAATCCATAGTGATGGAGGTTAGCTGAACGTCACCCTAATTTAATGAAGTTCTTCTCCAAGTCTCATTTTCAAATCGTAAAGGTACTAACTGGCAGCAGAGGACCTATGCAAAGTTCCTAATGGAATCAGCACAGACTTCAGTCCAGGGCTTTCCCAAAATGTCTGTAACTGATTCAGAGACCAAAATAACTAGCTTAGGGGGTTAGTGACTCAGAAAACCTAAAAATTGTTTATTTTTTTATTTGGTCAGCAGCAATGCCTTCACTTTCCCAGAGGGGGAACTCTGAAACATGGAAGAATTAAATAAGCAAAAAAAAAAAGTTTGGGTTGGAATACGGGTTTGGTCCTGAATTCATCTGAATTTCTCCTGAATTTCCACAGAAGTGGATACGCTTGGAGGCGGAATGTTTCTAACCCCTACTCCTTCTGGAAAAAAATGTCCCTGCCAGCAAAAACAGATTTTCAGATGCTGACTCTGTGCGCCACATTTCTCTCTGCGACTCAGAAGGAAGAGAGATTCAACTGAAAAACGACACAGATGTTCTCCATTGCAAGGCTTAACTGGCATTCTGGTTCAAGCTACCAAAAGAAATGCTCCGCAATATGATTCAGTCTATCCCATCCCATTTGTCATATAATCCATTTCCAAGGTACAAAACAAAGAGGTCACTTTCATGCACAGACACCATGCATATGACTAACAGTAGCGGCATCTGTGGGATGAAGTAAACACTAATTCTGTGTGGACTGAGGTGGCAAAAATCCTGTAGAGCAGTGTTTCTCAACCCTGCTCCTGGCGGCACCCTGTCCTGCATATCTTCTATCTATCCTTGTTCTACCTACCTGACTGAATTCATCAGTGGCACATTTTACTAGCTGAGCACACCTGATTTAATCAAGCAGCAAGGATAGATAGAAGATATGCAGGACAGGGTGCCACCAGGAGCAGGGTTGAGAAACACTGCTGTGGAGAATGAGTGATGAGTGAACAGAGCCAGGGTAAATGCAAAGAGACAGAGTGGGTGGCACTGCGGTGTGGTTCATACGTAACAGGGGTTGCAAGTTTGACTCTCAGGTGGGGCAATGCCACGTCACCCTTAAGCAGGACGCATCCTGTGCAGCTTCAGTAAACACCCAGGTACGCAAATGGAAAATACATAAAACTGTAACGCAGGTAAATACGTCAGCTAAGCACACCACAGGGTGATGTAAATATATAGGGATGATGAGAATTTGAGTAGCTCAAGCTGTCTCTTTACTTACGGAAGAAGTGGGTGGCACAGCAATAGAGCCACATGCCAACGAGGAAGATGACGGTGATGGTAGCGTACGCTGCGACCATGCAGCTAACTGAGGCACCGGGCAGAGAAGGGTATCCCTGGAGGCAGCGGGAGTACCTTGGCAGCGTGCGATCTTACACTGGGGCCCGTGGCCTGGCCTCGGCACAGTGGCACACACACCCAGCCAGCGAGCTTTAATGGAGGCCACCTGGCTCCTTTCTCCCCAGCCAAACAAGTCTGTAAATCCTTCCCTACTCTACTCCATCTTGTTCGTTTTGTGCTAAATCCCGCAGAGAGTGTGTCTAATTTCTTTTCAGCAGAAACGTTCATTCACTGTTTTCTGACTCGTGACCTTCCTCAGTTCTTCCACTTTTGTGAATTGAAGGTTTTTTTTTTGTCTTTTTTCCCCTCTGCTGTAAATGTCATTAAGTTGAGGTGACTGTTGTCTTGAATTCATACATACCTACGTATTTTATGGTTTCCAAAGATTTTCTCCCACATAGCGGGGCCTTATCTATAATACGTGCCTCATAAACCTCATAAACCCCCACCCAAGCTATCATTCATGGCACTGGAAAGTGGAACGCCTCATTCTTCTGTTGCAACAACATCCATTACAGCCATACATCTGCACCATGTCACACAAGGTCCAATTTACAGGAAATCTGATCAACCAGGTTGCAGGCAGGTTAGTCTTACTGGTTCTCCGTTGGGCCCGCCTGACCCCTCGCGACCCGGTTCGCCCCGTGGGCCTGGCTCGCCCTGCAGAGGACACAGGGACGTCGGCACGTGAGCAGAGGTTCATCCATCCCACAGGAGACTCTCAAACTCCTCAATTAAATTCAATCCTTCTTTATCAAAAACATACTGTACATGCAGCAGATACTCACAAACTGTGAGCAAAGTAGCACTGTTTAGCTACTTTAACATTTATCAAAACATTACAGCAAACCATTCCCATTCAAGTCCCTATCCACTGCTTCAGTTAGTGACAGCACAATGAGAAAAATGATAAAAAGACACTGACCTGATCTCCTCTGGGTCCTCTGTTTCCGCGGGAACCTTGTTCTCCCTTCTCTCCTGCTGCTCCCTGGAAATAAACAGCCACATATTCTGTGTAATCACACTGATAAGGAAGCATATCACCAAGAACAGTGGAGTTTGTTTGTCATTCTAAAACAATTATGGATTTTCACAGTCCTGAAACTGGGCCAGATAAGCACACTTTCTGCTGTTCATGTTGTGAGCATTGGTTTGGAATATGTTACCTTGTCTCCACGGGGTCCGTCTGGGCCTGGTAAGCCCTGAAAGACATAATACCACCATCAACAGGAGCTCCCAATGATCCAAAAAATGTTTTAAACTTTTGATGAAAAATTATTTAAGGTGAGTGTCATGGAATGCTATGACACAAAACAAATTTAACACAGAGAGCCAAAAAAAAAAGATGGAAAAAAACTTGCATCATCGCCTCTCTCTCCTTTGTCTCCATCTGGCCCCCTTGGTCCTGGTTCACCCTACAAAAACACATAATTGACAACATGAAGTGTTAATGAGCCTTGGGTAGGGAATGAGAAATGGATACAAGCATCAGGCAGCAGAGGCTGTTACAGTGTAATGACAAATTCACCCTCCACCCTCATTTAAAGACAGAGCCCACAATGCAGCAGCTAATTTGTGGCCTGCCTCCCTTATCACTTCCTGTTTACCTTGCGTCCAAGTGGACCATAGTTTCCTGGCCTTCCTGGCTCCCCATCGCTCCCAGGATCTCCCTAAAGGAAGAAACAGGGTTGGTCAACAAACCCAAACACTGACATCATAATTTAATGCCAGTCTGATACTGATATGCACATTCTTGCAACAGTGCAAAACTTGCAGCTGAACTGATTGTATCCCCTTTTTTCATGCACTCACTGTGAAAACCCACACAACCCTGTTGGCTGCATACAAGCAATGAATACAAGTTATACTGATGACTCCACACTCACTTTCTACTCGTCAGTAGGAATAACTACTAACATAAAAGGACTTCATCCTTACTTTTGCTCCTTTGGTGCCAAAGGGCCCAGGATCTCCTTTAGGGCCTGATTCTCCTGGTAATCCCTGCAGAAAACAGAGAAAAGGGGTTTCTGTCATTCTCTGTGAGAAACAAACCAAAGACTGTACGCTTCTCACGGCTTATCAGATCTCGCTTAAGTGGCTTGTTTACAAAAACTTAAAGGGACAGGACAGAATGCCAGCAAAACAAAAACAGAGAGAGCGCTAATTACAGCACAAAGCCTTCAGTGGTTTTGAAAGGCAGATTTGTGTTTCGTGCGTGTGTGGTAGGCAAACTAACATCCTCTTCAGAGCTGGGCAGATGCTGAGGGGCTGGAACGAGGCTGCCTCAGTCAGAAGTCAGCTGCAGCTGCCGACAGGCGCCATAGTGGCCTTCCAGCCTCAGTGTAACAGTTACATCCCACTAAGAAAATGCACACCAGACTACGAAATCTTCAAAGGGCAAATTCTCTGCTGGGGACTCTTGTTTCTTTTGTTTTTTTTCTGGTATAAGAAGGAATTCCCCTTGAAGTGCTGTTTGAGCAATTCCCCCCTCCCCACAGATCTAAAGCCGCTTCCTCCCAAGCAAGATCTTGTGACCAACAGCGGTGGTAAGGACCGAGGCGGCGCCGTGGCGGCTGCAAGTCCTGCTCTGTATCACGCTGACAGCATTACTGCACTGCAGTGCTTCTCAGCGGCGCAGAAGGAGCGATTGCAAACAAAAGGATGAAACATTCCCAAACAGCGGAAGGAGACTGATGCACAAGCGTTCCCCGAGCGGGCACACATGGAAAAACGGCCACGGACAGGCGGGTAACAATAACATCCCTTCTGCTCGGCTTAGGGTGGTGAGCGTGACCGTTGGCGATGTGTAAGTTCCTGAACACACCTGCGAGTAGAGT